CAGGTGTCCCATATTTTATTTTCTAAATCCTGCGACCCTAGTCCAGGTGTAACCCACACTTGAAGCCAGGCCATGGTGGGAGCTTCTGAAGCTCTTTCTGCCCTAATTCAGGATTGTTCTCGAACCAGGTGGTGTTGGCTTAAACAGGCAGGGCCCAGGGGCAAAGGGTTGGGGGGAGGGCAGAGAAAGAAGCCGAGAGGCAAGCAGGGCCTGAATGAGACAGTTTTTTGTTCAGCACAGTAAGGAATTTATTCCTGGCCTGGGGCCACTGTCACAGGGTGCCTCCCATTCCATGCTGTTTTGGCCACCAGAGCCTTGCCCACAGGTCTGATCCCTCTTATTCAGGGAGGCTTAGTGCATATAAACTATTTCTTCATCAAGCTAAAGACACTTTTGCAAGTGGTGATACCAGCCATTTAGTCCATCCCTAAAGAACTGAGGGTCCTGGGAATTTAACTATGTCAATGCAGTCTTTTACATTACTCACTGAAGGAATTGAATTATCCATGCAAATAGCTGAGGAGTAGGTGGGAGGGACCTCAGGGGTTGTCTGGTGATATGTATTGAATTGTGTCGCCCAAGTTTTATGTATTAGAAGCTTGATCCCCACTGTAACTGTTAAAGGGGGTGGGAAATCCTATTATGGTAATTGAAAGATGGGGCCTTGAAGAGGTGATTAGATTGTAGGACCCTGCCCTAGTGAATGGATTAATAAAGGTGGTCATGGGTGTGGTTCTGAGGGCTTTAAAAAGAGAGTCTCTCTCTCTCTGCTCCACCATTCTGTCATGTGACACCCCTGCTTTACCGCCAAGGAGGATCCTCACCAGATGTGTTCCCTGGACTTTGGACTTCCCAGCCTCTGAAACTGTAAGCAATAAATTTTGTTTTCTTACAAAGGACCCAGGTCCAAGTATTTTGTTAAAAGCAACAGAAATGGACTAATTCATCTGGGTACTGAACTTGTGAAAAATCCTCAGATCACTGGTTCAGTCCCAAGGTTGACTGTGAGCAGCTTGAGAGCAGCATCTTAGGGCCCCTTGGTTTAGCAGAGCACCTAGTGCATAGCAGAGGCTCTAGACCTTTTTCTTGAAGATATAAACTTTAAAATCTTACGTGCATAGGGAAACCAAAACCCGAAGAGGTTAATGACCAAGATCATAAAGGTAGTTGCGAGCTATGTCAGGGCTGTCAGCCAAGCCCTTGCTGCTCCATCATTAGCCATAGTATGTCCTTCCTTCATGGAATATTTATTAAGCCTTCGTCACTAAGGACAAAGGGCTGGGGGCATAATAAACCCCCTTCCTACCATTGGAATCATTTACAATCATTTACCAGATAAAATTACTTCTGGTACTTACTAAGTGATTTAAATGGACCTGGCTTCAGGAATTAACACGGACATAGATAAAAATATATGAAAATCTGCTCCTCCTATAGTCTTTCCCATCTCAGTAAACGACCCCTTTTTTCCAGTAGTAAGGTAGCCTAAGGGCTATTGATATTCCTAAACTCCTTTCTTTCTCCCACATTATACCTGTCAACAGATCCTGTTGGTTCTACCATTAGACATAACCAGAACCTGACCACTTCTCATCACCGGTTGTGCTACTGCCCCTCACGGATGGGTGTACTAGCCTACCCGGTCCCCCTGCTTCCTCCTATGGCCTCGAGACTTTTCTCAACAGAGCAGTCAGAGCAGCCCAGAAAAGATAGGTGGACCATGCCGCTTAGCCTCTCAGGCCTGCCATCAACCCCGTCTCCTGCCTACCAGGAGACTGCTCCCCTACTCCAGCCATACCAGTCCCTTGCTGTTCTTGGGCACACTGTGCATTTTATTTCTGCCTGGGAGGATCTTCCCCTACAGTCCATGTGACTCCCTCCTTCACCTTCTTCAGATCTTTGCTCAAAATATCTCCTGCCCTAGCAAGGTCCTCCCTGACTGCCTCTTTTAGAGTTGCATCCCCTCATCCTGCTCATAGCACCCCGTCTCGCTTCCCCTTTGCTCTGTAATACTTATCGCCATCTGACATATTTTGTCCTCCTCCCCTGCCCACTGCCCAGCCCCCCCTCCCCCACTGAATGTAAGCTCTAAGAAGGCAGTGATTTTTGCTGTATCCTCCTCCTGACACATAATTTTGATATGGTTTAGGACTGAGACTGGAGGTCAAGATTTAGATTTTGCTTCAGCCCATATTCCAGTGTTTCCCCAAATTTAAAAACAAGTGGCCTATGTATTAACACAAAAATCTCAGCTTCAAAGGTCTCCAGGTGAGAATCATGGCCTCATTTATTAATCTGTGTCAGCTAAGATTTTGGTGTTATTTTTAGTAGTCTATATTACAAAAATAGGTGATTATTTCCAAGTGTTAAATGTTAATATTGACTACGCCTTTCAAACTATACTTTCCCTCCTCTGACTCCTCCATTTCCTCAGGAAGATTCTGATATGCCTCTCTAGAGGTCATTTAGCCCATTCTGCATTGAAAATCCATCTAAAATAATGGGTGCTTCTCTAACTCTGCAGGCAGTGTGGTCTTTCTGGTTATGACAGAGCTGAGATGTTAAATTTGGAGAACAATGTTGTCTGCTCCAGACAAAAGAATTCTTCCTTGATGAGTGAAATTTATGTATCTGAGACTGAACTCCATCTCAAAAAACGGATCAATAAAAAGCACAAAAGTTTTGTTAGTATAAAACAAAAAAATTTGAAATATAAGGCAGATAACTAAATGAATCTTAATAGGACTTCATTTTAATTAAACAAATCACATCTTTGTGCTGTTAATATAAAATATAGACATAAGCTCAAAATATGGTAGGAAATGGTATCCCAAATTAAGAAGTCAAATGGCAAAACGATAAGCCAAAGAATGAACTTTTCCGCCACAAAAGACCAAATGTCAGGTGAGGATGTATAGGAGGAATTAAGACCAAAGGTCTCTGAACATTGGTCAGCTTATTTTGAAGCATGTCATGTCTACCCCATAAGACAAGTTAGTCTCTGAAGGGTTCACAGAGGAGTTCAGCATTTGCTGTTGACTTGCAATAGTAGAAAAATTTATACCAGCAGTGCCAAGCTGTATCTTGTTTCTTTTTCTTGTGTAATAAAGGGACTCTGCCTGGCCTCAGGTGTTTCTTGTTTTGGAATCATGCAATTTGGAAAAGGAAACTCAACTCAAGTATGGTCCCCTCTCCCTTAAAGAACTAGCTTGTTTACATCATAGAACTAAGTCTGATGTTTCTTAGTTCTATTCTATACCTGGGCTAGTACTAGAGGGATTCTGGTGTTTCAGTAAAAATATGATATTAAGAGATTCAAAACCTTATCCCTTCCTCTTTATTATCCTTAAATTCCTTGGGAGTCACAAGGGCTGTGTTTCATGGAAGGTTTATTTCAGGATGCTAAAAGGCTGCTAAGGCACTAATGGGGAAGGATCCAGGCTTCTCCTATTGGGGAACAAGTTGCCCACTAACCGATCTGTGGTATTGTAACTTTATATCCTCTAGATAACTCATCAAAACAGTACATCATGGTCAAATTTTAACATCCAGAAGGATGATGCACTGAAGGTCAAGCTAAGTGTAGGTTATCTTGCAGGATGTCACCAGAAGCTCTGACGTTGACTTTTTTTGAGAACAGTTGAAAGCGGGATTCTTCAAAAATTCAAACACAGGCTAGAAAACTCAGCTCTAAGCTGTTAACCCAGACAGGAGGGGAATATATCCCTCCACACCAACTGTGCATGGCTCTGGGGAATGATGGGAGCCTGCATGGTGCCTGAACACTGTAGTTCCTCAGAACAACTCTGATGAATGAATGAACAAACACATAAGGACACCATCCATCAAAAGTCAGCCTAGTTAAGTGCAAGAATACTGAGCCCTTTCCAGATTACTTCATTCTTCCTTGTTATTACAGACTGCTCACTTCCAGTAATTTTAAATATGAAGAAATTCCTAAATCAGTAAGAAAGGTCTCACAAAGAATAGACAGGCCTTTTAAAATTTATTTGAGTTATTTCCAAGCGACAGTTACAAAAGTTTTTAATTTTTATAATACTCTTGATAAGAAAATAAAATTTAAATAAAAATACATTATCAACAATACAACATGGGTACACAAATTCACTACATTAAGTTTTGATAACTTACATTTTCAAACTAGACACTGTAAAAACCAATATTTACTAGCAACATATTTATTTCCAAGTTAATAAAAATGGAAGCAGATAATATCAATCAAAATTGGTAACTTAACTCTAGAATGAGTCTTGTATTTTTCACATACTGTAAGGACAACTAAAAGGCTATGCAGAATTCTGTCTTTACAGGATGTACCGTTAGCGCAAATTAAAGGTGCTTTCACTTAAAAAAAATTCATTTTTCAAAACCTGACATGAATGAGACTTTCTGATAAATGAATGAAAATGAACTTCAGAAACAGAAACAAAAGCCACATCATTTGTCACTTTTTATAAAAAAATGTCTAGTTTTGACACTTAACCATTACCCGTGACATTAACATATTTCTTTGGCAAATAAAATAGTTCAATTTGATAAATTATATTCCTGGGAGTAAAACCTTTGATATTGCCTATCTTAATAAATGAATATTAAAAAACAAAGCTAAACAAAAACAAAACAACAATAAAACAAGCAACAGATCATGGCAACTTGAACTGATGGAAATGTCTAAACTAAGAACCAGAACTGGCATTCATTGCAAGAGTTTCCCCATATCCTTTTCTTTCCTTCTTGGGGTTTTCAGGTTTTTAGGATAAAGTGAGCTGCCAGGTTTTTAGGATAAAGTGAGCTGCCATATATTTATATATTTTTTAAATGTGGAAAAGGCAGAGAAAGCACATCAGGTAGTAAAAATCAAAGTATTTATGAGTAATGGCAGAGGAATGAGGCCCCTGGAAGCAAATTCATTGGTTATTTTAGGGTCCTACTGACATGGTCTCTTATTTCAAAAGACTTCAAAGAAAATTAATTTAATGTCACATTACTTCTTTTCAGGCTGTGCCAAGCTGGTTAATTCCAGTCAAACAGGCTGCTTAAAAGTGTCATGTGAAAAAAATACCTAGATGACTGAACTCTTCCCCTTCGTACACAGAGTTATGTATGCACACAGCCTTGGTCCCTTTGATAATGCCATGATCTTTAAAAACAATCATAATTGGGGATTTGACATTAGCGATGTTAGAAAAATACTTCTTTTGCCTTAAAAAAAAAAATAGCAGAGGACTAAAAAGCCGCTAAAGAATAATCAGTGGTATCTGGTAATGTTCACACATCCTTTGCGTGTAGACATTTCAGAGATTCTTAAGAGGAATTTTAATTGAAAGAAAATTCAAGAATGAGAAATTTATTAAATTTCTAAATTATTTCACATTTATAAGTCAGTGTAGATTATGGAATATAAAAGCTCATAAAATTTAAAGGACTCTTTCAAACTTGTCTCTATCAGCACCATACTCTAATCAAAGGATCTAACCAGCCAGCCCCTCAAACTTGTCTTTAAAAAGGGCCAAGATTACTACCTACCATAATGCAGACTAGTACTGATTCTTAAATATAACCAATTCATTTTTACAAGTCATTTAGAGAAATACATTGCTTGGTTATAATCATTTATGGAAAAACTTTGATTGTGTGCTAAGAGTCTTTAAAAATAATTACCTAATATAATTTAAAAACAATTACCCACCAATAACATAACTGGCAAAGTGTATCTTGAAATATAGCTTATGCTCAGGAAAACAAAAAAAGCATACTAGATAGACTTACATTAATAAGTCACAGTTTTAAACAGAAACATATGTAAATACTCCAAGGTTCAAAGTACCACATTTAGAAAATGTTTTGAATTAAAAAAGACAAAATAAGAGTACCGTAGTTTTTAATACTGATGAAGCAAAGTGTATTCCTCTTTTCTTCAAGGTGGCAACTTGCTTCGGCTGCTTATATACAGTTATGGTTTTTAGGACAAAAGTAAATTATTAGGGAAAAATAGCAAACAGTTGCTTGCCCAAATTCCATTTGGCTAGCAGGCAATAAGGAAACAGCAATGAAGTATAAACATTTTCAGGAAAGCATTATTTCTAGACTTAAAACACTGATCATTTAACTGATCATAAAGATTAGATACCATGGAGTATCTAAAGTATAATCTGGGGCAGTCCAGATTATTAAAGTGCGCTGAGTGACTGTTCTCAAGTTAGGTCACAACCTAACATTATGAGGAGGGCGTCCTTATGGTGGCCCTTATTATTACATGAAATAGCAGGTGAAGTCAAGTGGTTTTCCCACCACCTTTTTTGACTGTTTACTTTCTATTCTTTTTCAGAAAAGATGTCCTTAGAAGTCATATTAGTCTGAACACTCAACTCAAGGAAATGAGTACCTGATATTTAAAACAATGAAAAAAATTTTAGTGGTCTCATTTTATTTTATCTGCCATCACTCATCCCAAATGTAAACAAGATGCACACAAAGGCACATATTCCCTGATTCCTCCTATCTGAGTTCTGTTTACATCTTTAAATTGGCAAAAGGATCTACCAACTTTCAAGGATGTATTGGCAGTTTTCTAAGGTTTCTGTTGCTGTCACTAATGTAACCTGTAATGACAATGAAAAACTTTTTTTTCCTTCTCTTTTTTAAAGCAGGAGGGTCTAGATGAACTAAATTGAGAGCTCTGAATTGTCATGGATTGGGACTTCCTAGTAAAATACAATGTCGGCAGTATAGAGCAGGCACTAATGGTAGTGAAAACAAGTCCACAGAACAGAGTGTTATAATCTTGCTAAGGAGGAGTTCTCCCTTTGTTACAAAGCTTCTTTAGGAATCTTCTTTAGGAAGATTCTGTTAGAAAGAATTTGCAAAACATGGATTTGGATATATAAGATATATAGGAAATCTTGGGTTTCAAATTCTATAGTAATACATTAAGAACAGGATTCCCAAACAGTTAATTTCAATTATTAAATATTAAATACAATGTGAATGCAGGTGACACTAAAACCAATGTTCCTTCTTAAATACTATGAACAAAATATATGATGAATTGAAAAACTCCAAGAAAAATATTCTCCAGTTCTTCTGAATCAATTGGTCAAACTCTAAGATGTCTTCCCAACAATTGGATTTTCCCTAGAAAACAATAAGGGAAAATCATTTTTCAAAAGTTAAAAAATGTAGAATTTTATTTTATTTATTTATTTATTTATTTTTAAAATTTTTTCCTTTTTTTTGTCTTTTTTCGTGTCTGGCAACGGATTGCAACCCTCAGTGTCGCGCCCGTACCGGACCGGACCGGCAACGGGATCGCAACCCTCGGTGTTGTGCCCGCACCTCACTCAGCCAGTGAGCGGGAACCGGTCTGTATGTGGGATCCGAACCCTTGGCGGGAGCGCCGCCGCGCTCCCAAGCGGCGCACTGTAGCAGTGCGCCACTGGGCCAGCCCAAAAAATGTAGAATTTTAAAAAGTGACAAATATAGAATCCATTAAGTATTTATAATTTTCCCTTGATAAAATTTTATACCAAGTCTTGTTTCATTAATTCAACAAATATTTACTGATTACCTATTAAGTTTCAGGCATTATTCTTGAAGCTAAGGATACAGTAGTGAATAAAACAGGCAAAATGCTTGCCCATCATGAATCTTACATTCTTGTATAGAGAAGATAAAATAAGTAAAATATTTAGTACGAGATGTTGGTATTTTTTAATAGAGAAAAATAAAGCTGGGAAAGGGTATAGTGTGTATGAGCATGGGGAGAGGGTGAAGTACTATTTAAGAAGGATAGTCAAGCACTGGCTAGGACCACATATGAAAACTTCCCAGGGCCCCTACAAAACTGGATTACTACTGATGGACGAGAACCAGTTATACTAACGTACAAAAGACAGGATTAGGATGCTTGCAATAATCTTTCTAATGTACTGAACCTTCTATCCAGAAAGAACATATTTATACCCGCTAAACTTATTTTTATTGTTCATTAATAAAAAATATAATTATCAATACACACAAATTTCAAAGAATATTAAAGATAGTGGGGCCAAGATTCAGAGACCCCTCATTAGATGTGTGACCTTGGGCAAGGCATTTAACTTCCCTGAGTCTCAGTTTCTCTAGCTGTAAAATAGGGATAAAATCATGCTGGGCTGATGTGAGGATCAATGAGTATACACTGTGGCAAACACTGTTATTTGCTGGCCCAAGAACCATCTCCTCCCTATCCACTTCTTTGCAAACATGACCCTGATTCTGTTCTAGTACTGGGCAAACCTGTTTCAGGACAGACTGAGGGTAACTCTAGACAAGGTTCCTTTCTCTTAAAAAGGAAGAAACAGCCTTTTCTGCCTCTGATACTATCATATAAAACAGCCTTTTCTGCCTCTGATACTATCATATAAAAATGTTGGGCTCTGAGCTAGTGCAGCTTATCTGTGACCATGAGGGGACAAGCCTGAGGAAGACAGAAATCATCTTGTTGAGGTGGCTGAGGGCCAGATGGTCCTTGATAACAGTGTTTAGCTGCTGACTTAACCAACATTAGATGTTAGGACTTAATTTGTGAGCCTGAAAAACTTATTAAGTCACCTCAATCAGAATTTTCTGTTACTTGCTGCTAAAAGCAATCTAAATGATATGACGTAAAGTACTAGGCATAAGACCCTGTCGTGGAGTAAGCTCCCAATAAATGTTAGCTGCTGCTGTTGCTATCCACTGTATTATCCAACGATATCTGAGATGGTCCAAAAATCGACTATAAAATACTTCTAACACTGTCACAGCTAATTTTTTTAAAGTACTTACTGTGTATAAAGCACTGTGACAGATATAGAGGAGGAGAAGGAGAAGTAAAAAACAAAACAAAACAAAAAGCTATTTAAGGAATGAATTACAATTTAACATAAAATTAACAGTGGTGATAATGTACAGCACCAACACAATGAAATGACAGCTGAACTGAAAAAGACAAAGAGCACTTTGAATGGACAGGGAAACTTGCACAAGAGAAAGGCTCTGAGCTGGGTCTTGACAAATAAGGGTAAGCAGGAGGCCTGCAGGTCAGGTGTGAGGACAGAGCAACAGAGGCAATCCTAAACTCTGTTTAAAAATACGTTTACAGTAGTTTAAAAAAATACTTACTTGCTCCCATATTTTGCACTACTTGATCTTTTCTTCCTATACTTTTCGTGAGGCTCATCCAACTTCTCTATGATGCTTTTTATTTGCTGAATTGTCTTAAATGTTGTTACAGAATCCTCGATGACAAAGTTAGAATAATCATCAGGCTCTTTCTGTGGTCCTTGATAGACTGCTATAGTTCCACATGCCTCTACAAGGAGCAGTAAAATCTCTGATCAGACAACTAAATTCCAAAAATGCAATTTGTAGTGTAAAGAAGAATTCTGCAAGTGTCTCAAGCTGGGGAGATTTTCCTTTGCAGTGCACAGATAACTAAAACATATAAACTTTATTAATATTAGGATCATTACATTTATGCAATAACAGTATTTTTTACTTCATGAATATCCATCAAAAATGCCCCTTTCGGGGTTTGTCAACTTTCATATAAGTAACATTTTGGTAAATCTATAAGTATTTTCAACTTTTTTTATAATTTTGAATTATAGAATTCACTTAAGGAATTGGTAATGAAAGATCATGCTTATATAAAAATAGAGTAATTGAATATTTACCTTCCATCTTTTGCAGCTTAAGCAAACTGAGGGTAAAAAGGGAATAAATCCTTTCTATTTCTCTGTCTTCATCAATGTCTATTTGGATGTCTGCAGGGACGCCTCTATGGCAAAAATGAAATTAAAAAACACTGGAAAAAATTTCCTTTGTTAACATGTCAAAGACTTTTGATGGTTTCAGACAAAACAGAACCATAAAACTTTGCAGAAAGAACTTCAGAAATTTAGTTTCATTTCATAGTTAAATAAAATGGGGCCAAGAGAGATTTGGTCATTATATGACTCTAATTGTAAAGAGGGGGGATTTTAAAGTAAAATCATTTTCATAACCTATGCTTCATCACAAAAGCAATACATTATTACCTAAGTCTACAGGGCTACAATGGTTGTTCCACACAATTAGAAAGAGAATGCTAAGCGCCTTCTTCCTTGATATCTTGGCTCGCCCTCCTGCTTCTCTTTAAACATTGCCTTTTTTTTTTAAACTTGTGCAACCACTATATTAATTTCATCACTGCAAAATGAAACCCTGTATCCATTAGCACTCCATATTTCTCCCTCCCTCCAGCCCCTGGCAACCACTAATCTACTTTCTGTCTCTATGAATTTACCTATTCTGGACACTTTATATAAATGTTATCATACAGTATGTGGCCTTTATGTCTGGCCTCTTTCACTTAGCATAATGTTTTCAAGGTTCATTCATGTTACAGCATGTACCAGTATTTCATTCCTTTTTATGGCCAAATAATATTCCATTGTATGCATAGACCACATATTGAAACATTGCTTTTTTAACCAGAAAGAAACTTACGCAGTACATGGCTTGCAGCCGAGAGTGTTTTCACTGGTCTCCTGACAGCAGAGCCAGCTTCCGTTTAGGTATGCAGAAGGATGATAAAAACTGAGCCTGTTTTGATTGCATCGGCTCACCCTGCAGAGTACGTCTATCCATTCATTAGCTTCTACACAATTATTTGCCTGGACATAGAGTGGTTTCTCTGTGTGTATTACTTGGAACATCTTCATAGGCAATTAAGATAAAAAGTTAGTGACAGAGTCTAAAAACCAGCATACAGTACAAAACAGAAAAAAGTACGTAAGAAAAATCTAATTTGCTTGGCCAGATAACTGCTGCTAAGGTATCTCATAATTTGTTACTTTTCAAGCAAGTTAGTCCCAAGGACAATCTGAATCATGGTTCTAAGCAGTACACAGGATATAATTTTTAGAAGCCATACATGTCCAGAGGAATGGACTAGCAAATAAATAACAATACAGGGAAGAAATTTCAGATGGAGGAAAAAGTATGTGCAAAGGCAAAGCAGTGGGAAACACTGAGGAACAAGAAAACAAGGAAATCATCTTTGTTGACTTGAGCATATGGTATGTACCGAGTGATAGCAGAAGACAAAGATAGATAGGTTTGGACTATGTTACTTAGAGACTTGAATATCACAAAGAGAAGTTTTATAAGAGGGAAGTACTGAGAAAAGTATCTTTAACTTAATTAGGCAGACTATATGAGGCATTAATAATAGTAGACAATTTTAAGACAGAAGTTCAGCTAGCAATTTATAAACTATTAACGATTAGTGGTAAACACTAAAATAATCTCTTGAAAATTTCAACTAAGGAATATATGCAGTTTAAAATTTTTAAATATTTATTTACATAACTTACATTTTTCTTGTTGAAAGAACCCTCTTCCAGTTTTTCCACAGCAAGAATGTTTTTTACTGGAATTGTGTAAATTGCATCTTTGCCTAAATAAGACATAGGACAAAATTAAAGTAATTTCATCAGAATTACAAAAATGAGAGGTTAATATAAGGTTTAAGCTCGCCCTCTTGATGGAAACAGTATAAATAATCTATAACAAATTTTCAGATGGTATGTATATAAATATTTTTTGTTTTAAGGCACAGATGAATTTTGATTTGTTTTCTATAAAGTGACTTCCTCTTTACTTTTTTCAATATAAAATTTAAAGATTTTCAAGGAAAAATGTAAACCTAAATTTGATCTCTATGTAGAAAATAAGATGTCACAAAATTTTTAAACATTATATGGGGACTGAAAAAAATAATATGCTTAGCAATAGAGGCCTACTCAAAACTTGCCAAGACATGCATTTTCTTTCGTGGAGTTATTAACATAAGTAGCGAATGTGACAACCTAAGTCGAGTTTTCTATTTTTCCAACATAATATTTAATTGAAGGATTAGCCCTTAAAACAAGGTTTTTAAACTGAAAAACTGTCCGTTACTATTACATATTGGCTGGTCAGCTAACTAAAGCTACAGAATTTACTCTAAGAGATGCAGGGAACAGAGGTAAAAATCCTATTTGGTAGAGTGAATACTTAACCTAATTTAAGAGTTTGGAAATCTGGTTAAGGAAATTTGAGTTTGCTAAAGGAGTTCCATAATAATATGCCATGAGAATATGATGCATTTCAACTTACAGTTAACCTAAGAATAGACTATATATTGTATAGTCATAGAAACTGCAAGTAAATATAATTCTGACTTCTTCTGGTCATTTTGTAATGTTTGTTGTTCTTAGAAAAATCAAAGCTTTGCTTTTATTCACCCCCCAACCCAAGCTTTGCTTTAATGACAAGTGGGTTAAAATGCCAGAAGTTAAGAACCTGACATTTCCCAACAGATTAATGTATGGCTTTTTTGGCAAAGAAAACTATTTGGTTAATAAAGGGTTTTTTGGTTTTGAACAGAGAAGTTAACGTGAAATATCTGCTAAGCCTGATTCCTGGTATAAAATCTAAAATTTATGTAATTCAAGCAGATGTGATATATAATTTTTTTCTTTAAGAGATAGTCACTTAATTTAACTATCATATATTGAATGTCTGCTATATACTAGGCACCGTTCTAACCATTTATGATATAGCAGTAAACAAACATATACAGCCCCTAGTGGAGTTTGCATTGAAGTCTGAAAGACTGGCAAAAGACAAATAAATACTAAATAGAGATGAACGCTACAATGAAAATAAACCTGGGTGATGTGATCGAAAGTAGTTGGAAAGTTACTTTAAATTGGTTAGGGAAAACTTCTCTGAGGAAATGACATTTACATTCAACAAATATAAATCATAAAAGGATGGGAAAACAAAAAAAGACTATCAGCAGTTAAGATCACATTTATGGGGGTGGAGGGTAGGGCTGGGAAGAGGTAATGAAAGAAGTCACAGCCCAAGCCATATGTAGGAGAAGACATCTGCAAAAGTAGGAGTGGTTAGGGGAGAGCTTCAAGTCAGAGTCAGCGGACATAAATAGCTGGAGGTTGAGGAGGAGCGGACTCAGATATACGCCAGGACAATTAACCAGTGATCTGCATCCAGAACAGCTTGGCCACTCCTCCCCTTTCCCTGGTTTGTGCTAAGCAGTAGTCAACTTAGGAGGCCTTATGTCCACAGGCTAAAGCAGCAAAAATGCATACTGGGCTGCAGAGCAGTGCAATGTCATGGGTAGCTGCTGACTCTCAGAAGGAAAGGAGAGAGCACTTACACAAGAAGACAAGCACCAGCAACCCTGCCCCTCAGCAGCTTGTCTTGTCCCTTCCTCACAACACAATAACTGGCAATAAACTACTGAACACTCAAGTAGATGAATGGATAAAACACAAAGATGAGCAAATAAAAAAAAAAAATCACCAAACAGTGAGGAAAATCAGCACTCTGAAGGAGAGACACACATGAAACAAACAGGATAACGTTTGAGGAAATCAGGAGCATAACAAATTGGGAGACAGAGGGGACATATGTCTTTGGGCACTGATCTACATGGGGCACCACAGAGATTCCAGTCAGAGAATTAAAAAATTTTGCAGGGAGTCTATCTTTATCCTTTTTGTCTTTTTTACTGACCGGTAACGGGATCGCAACCCTTGGTGTCGCGCCCACACCGGGGACTGGCAACGGGATCGCAACCCTTGGTGTTGCGCCTGGACCGCGCTCAACCAGTGAGCGGGAACCGGTCTCCACGTGGGATCCAAACACTCGGTGGGAGCGCTGCTGCGCTCCCGGGTGGCGCACTTGAGCGCCACCGGGCCGGCCCAGGGAGTCTATCTTTAGATTTGTTGAATACACAAAGCATGCACATACTCCAAAATTGCTAGATTTTATTCATTTCTGGACAAATTATAACACAGCATATGTAGAGAAAGCACATTGTTCCTATGCACATACACTGTCATGATATCATTAGAGTTAATTTCACAGTTAATAGTGTTAACTGGAATGAATTGCACTGTGAATTAGTAAAATGTAATGTTTTACTAAGGAGTCTAGAAAAATACAGTACAAAAGGACAAAGAAACAGAAAGAAATAGAGAAAAGTTAAAAACCATGGTGAATGGATTTATAAGTTTCAATATGTGGCTAATAAGAATCCAAGAAACAGAATAGAGTCTTCAGAAGAAATTTACAGATGAAAATGTCCCCAAGATAAAGGTAGAAATCTTCAGATTGAAAGGATCCACCAAGTGCTGAACAAGACGGAAGAAAAAAGACAAAAACCTAAACATTGGACAGTAGAATATTAGAACATGAAGCCTGAAGAGAGTCCTAAGAGTTTCTAGAGAGAAGAATCAAAAGACTGAAAATCAGATTGACATCAAAATAAGCAACAACGATATCTTAACAATATCTAGTAAACAACAGAGTAGTATCTCCAATGTTTTGAGGGAAAATGATTTCAAACCCCATCTAACTATCATTTAAGACTAAGGTGGGTAAAATAAAGACATTTTATATTCAAGGACTCAGAAAATTTATCGGCCATAAGGCCTATCTGAAAGAATTCCTAGAGGTAGTACTCCTGTAAAATAATAATGAAGAATCCTGGAAAAAGGCAGAAGTGTTATATAAGAAACAGTGCTAGAAAAAGAAATAAGGAAAATTAGTAGACAAGGATAGATAACATAATGTAAAAAGGTAAAAGAAACAAGAGAACCAAGTATTAAAATTCCAGATGACTTCATTAGGGAGATGATAGGAAAAGAATTATTGAAAACATGCTAATGTTCTTTCTCAGCTTGAATGGAGACTTGGATTAACTAGACATTAAGAAAAACATGTAAGTTTAAATTTGTTAATTCAAAAGCACAAATAGGGTGTCCAAATTCCCTCACTAGAGAGAGAGAGAGAACGAGGGAGAGAGTGTGCGCATGCACAAGTGCACATGCTTGATTATTTCAAAAAAAAGAAAAGGAAAAATAAACGCAATAAACGGAAAAGCCTAGTAAATAGAAAACACAAAACAAAGCAGTAAACAAAGTAATTACAATAAATGTGAGTGCATTAAATTTCCCTGTTAAATGACTGAAACAAAGTTTCAGTTAAAATTGTCATTACCTCCTCAAAAAGTTAAACAGAATTGCCACGTAACTCACCAAATCCACTCCTAAGTATAAACCCAAGAGGACTGAAGATATATGTCCACAAAACCGTAAATGAATGTTCATAACAGCATTATTCTTAATAGCCAAAAAGTAGAAGCAACCTAAACGTCCATCAACATTTGGATGGTCCATATATACCAACATTTGGTATATACGGATATATATACCAACAAAATGTGGTATATATATCCATATAATAGAATATTATTCAGCCATAATGATTCATGCTACAATGTGAATGAACCCCCAAAACATTATGCTGAGTGAAAGAAGGCAGTCATAAAAGTGATACTTGTATACTGTATGATTCCATTTGTGTGAAATGTCCAGAAAAGGCAAATCCATAGTTAAAAAATAGATTAGTGGCTTCCAGGGGCTGGGAGAAGGGAAGAATGGGGAGTGACTGTTATGGGTACAGGGTTTCTTTTTGGGGTGATGAAAATGTTCTGGAATTACTGGTGATTACACCATTGTGTGAATATACTGAAAAATAATAAACATAGGGCCGGCCCGGTGGCGCACTGGATAAGTGCGCCGCTTGGGAAGCGCGGCGGCGCTCCCGTCCGAGGGTTCGGATCCCACGTATAGACCGGTTCCCGCTCACTGGTTGAGCGAGGCGCGGGAGCAACGCCGAGGCTTGCAATCCCGTTGCCGGTCCCCGGTCCGGTACGGGGGCAACACTGAGGGTTGCGATCCGTTGCCGGACACGGAAAAAAGACAAAAGACAAA